GTTCCAAAGATGAAATAGAATATAAAACCACAGTTTTAGACCAAAATTTGATATGGCATCTATCCGGAATTTTGGATTTTGCGTTTTTTCCATTTTGCAGGCGTATTTTGCATTTCTCGCTGAAAATGGTAATGAAAAACTTGTTTCTACAAAAGTTGTAGGGAATTTAGTCCTCTACAACTTTGCCATTTGAATATGTCACTTATTTTTAATAAAAATGGTCCAAAAATTGAAAAAACTGGGTCAATGTCCTAATTTTTGACACTTTTTGCTCATTATTAGCAATAAATAATCATTTTACAACAAAATTGTTCAAATAAAAAAGATAGAGAATTTAATTCTCTACAAATTTGGTTATTACCATTTTCAGCGAGAAATGCAAAATACGCCTGCAAAATGGAAAAAACGCAAAATCCAAAATTCCGGATAGACGCCATATCAAATTTTGGTCTAAAACTGTGGTTTTATATTCTATTCCATCTTTGGAACCTAACTGCGTCAAAAAATTCTGTACTTAAATTAACTTTGTCGAAACTCCTACATTGATCGGGCTAATCGACATATAGTTGGACGGTGCATGCGGCGAAATCTCTTTGATCTTTCGTGTTGACGGATCTAGAAAGAGTAAGATAAATGTTTGGGCACGGAACTCTCTTTCTACTTTTGTCTTATTGATCGAATTGTGTTGCAGGAGAGGGAGGACAGTAACATTTTCTTTAAAGTCAGAAGCCATTACAGAGGTATTACTACGCAGCAATACTACTGCGGTGCAGATTAAAATCGGAAAATTATATATACATTATATTAGATACAAAATAATATCGAGTAATATGGTTTCTACATGTATTTTATGTAAGAGCCCCAACCACAGCCCAACACACACTTTTGCATAACGCATAAAGCATGTGCATAAGGAATTTCATTGGCCCATTTTCTTATGCATGAGTCAATGGACCAATCAAATTCTTTATGTATATGGTTTATGCGTTATGCAAAAGTCTGTGTTTCTCGCCTAACACTTTGAGCACAGATAATGCCTCAGGGCCCTTGATTACATGATTCACTACTACCCAAACATCGTTCTATCTCTTTCTAGGTCTGTCAACATGATTTCGATGCTATACTCCCGTCCAGTCTATATGTCGATGGTATTAATATGGGTTAGGGTTGGATTATACTGGTCGTAATCTGTTAACTTATGCCGTAATCTGTAAAAATTGACCAATTATAATCGATTATTCCCCTCTCATTCGACTGTGATTGGTCAATTTTTACAGATTACGGCATAAGTTAACAGATTACGGCCAGTATAAATCAACCTTAAGACCGTAAAACGTAATCAGTAAACGAATTGGCCAATCACAGTAGAGGCCGTAAGGCCGGTAGCGAATCCAATATTACGATTTCCTTACTGATTTCGTCTTACTTTACTAGAGAATAAGAATTTTAACCTATCAGAAATAATATACTGTGGAATAAACAGTGTGTATTCCATAGTACATGATTTCTGATAGGTTAAAATTCTTATTCTTTGTTTTCTGTTCCTTGTTCCTTTTATTCTGCGTAGCCACTTATTATAGTCAGAGTCAGTATATAGTCAGCTGGAGTCGAGAGCCTGTAGACGGCTTTATTAAGGAATCTTAAAGATGATTAGTTACATTGGAAATAGCACTTACACACAGATGACTACGTGTCATTGACACATCAGTACATCAATATCTCGTTCACTCCACACATGTACATAAATTTTCATATCGTAATTACGTTTTGATTAGACATCTAAATCCAATTTTAAGAACTCCACGCTGTTTCTTCATGCAAACTACTTATCTATGGACTATTATATTTCGTAAGTACAAATAGCTTTTATATGAAGTAAATGTTGTCACAATATTTACTTCATATAGAAATTATACGATACCATATAAAATGATATCGTAAACTTATAAATTATTTTAGCCTCTTAAGCGTTTAGTTAGTTATCATTACAGTCATAAAAAATTGCAACATTAGTTGCTTTCCATTTACTCCGATTTTCAGATAATTCTTACTTGTGGCGTCATAATTACTCAGTTGAATGAGCGTTCCTTTTGCATTCTGAGAAATGAGATTCAACTGAGTTTTTACCTGCAAACAGCACAAGATCGAGACCGTGTGCTTTATTAAGTCTCGTAGATTCACTTTAAAAGTGAGTATAAACTTGTGTTGTTATTTTTTAATTTTACCAAAGTAAGCAAGTAGTGACGTCATTAAAATCTGAGTATTTCATACTCAGCTCACTTCAGACTCAGTTTCCCTTGTTGTAAATGGAAAGCAACTATTGTTACCACATTGTTATAAAAAGAGAGAGAGTAACTGTAAAAGTAACTCTTCCATTCCCTGTTTATTATTATATCCCAGACCAGATAGCAATGTATGGTATCTGTCTTGTTGCCGACATATATTAGGCGAATTTTGGCGTGCCTCTGGTATAGCAACCAAAAGTAACCGCGACTAAGGCTATCTTCGTTTTCAGGTATCAGAAGACAAAGATAGCCTCAACCACGATTGCTTTTGATTGCTATACCATTACCAGAGGCACGCCAAAATTCGCCTATTGTTACCAGAATTGTAATGTGGCGATCCGCCACCAGAGGTCCAAGAAGACTCGCGCCAATTCTTACACGTATTCGAGACACGCGAAATCTTTTCATATGGAACCTCGGGCTGCGGTCCACGGTGCGGTCCCATGAGATGCGGAACTACAGAAATGCAGAACTGCGGAACTTTCATAATTAGTCGTGGCATCATTCCGCCGATTCCATTCCGCTAAAGTGTGTTTTTCTATGTCCCATGAAGAGAAATTTGCAGAATGCGCAATTAGCATTGACCAATCGCAAGTTTTGATTACTCTTATTAAATTTACTAGAATAGCGTTTGTCATAGCGTTTGGTTCGCATTGATTGCTTATCCGTAAATTTCGCTCAATGGGACATAGGAAAATAAACTCTTGCGGATCAGAAATTACACATACATGATATTTACAGCTCTGTTTTTGATGGCCCTTTTAATTAAATCAGGTAGAATTAATTAAAAGAGTGTACTGTCGCTGCTTTTATTTTATTATACAATAGCACGTTTGTTTTTCTGCCATTACAGCAATGTATTCGGACAAATTGTTTATTGTTATTTGCGGATAAAAAATTAAACAATATTACTGATGAAAAAATTAAAATAGAATAAGGGTGTATTTGATCAGCCGAAACTACGTTGGAAAATTGCAAAATTATGTTTTATCCTTCGTTCAACGAGAGAATGACCTCGTTCTGCGTATGGTATAGACTATAGGTGATATAACAAAAGTGTGAAGTGAGGCCTATATTATTAGCCAACCAAAGAAGAAGATGTGAGGCCTATATCCGTACCTAAAAAATTTAAACTTTTTTATCTAATAATAATATATTACCATGAAAAGTAACTGATATATTATTAATTAAAGGTGCCAGTTCAAAGTGAACATATATAAAGTGTATGCAACTTTCGGCTGATTTTTAAATCTCCTCCGCCTTCCGCTGTCCCCCTCACCTCACCACCCCGCGCGTAGTCCAAATGCCGTACGACGGTCGAGAACGGCTTGACCGATTTTAAATTTTTTTAGCTCAAAAATTACTCGTGGCAATACCACTTTTCAGGATATATATTACGTGCGATTCAAAATTTTTTATATTTTAGTAGTTATGAACCCCCCAAAAATAGACTTTGGTGGCTCGGGATAAGAGACTTGTAGTGTCTTTTATTAATCTTTTAATTTAAATTAAGTAGTAATTTTTTTTGAACATGGCAGGAGCCATTACAATAATGTCTCCTAATACCATTACCGTATACGTAATGGTATTAGGACATTTTGATATCAAATTCTTCTTTCATTTTATTGTGTAAAATTTGTGAATTGGCAGGATAACTAACTGTTTAATGATATTATTTTCAGAATAACTATAACGAAATACGAATAAATAAATAAAGAGTAATTTAATTCTGTGATAATATCTCATGGTATAATACAACGCTAGCAAGGTATAATACAACGCTGCGAAAAACGGGTGGAGACCTGCGCTAAATAGACGAGTTTTCAGCCGATCCGAGGTCATTCTCTCGTTGAACGGAGTATATATACTATTATTATATGTTCTATATGCTAAAAAGAGAGAAAATAAAAAGATACAACGAAGGTTTTGACCCATATGTATTTTAGAAAGGAGATTATTGCAAGGAACAAGTGCAAATCTTGCAAACGAGATATGTTGAAAATAAAGAAAAATATATTGATTATTTTAGAAATTTATAGACTGCCACCTCTATTATTTAATGAATTATTAAGATTAGTTGGACCTGTTTAAAACTACAATTAAATTGAATAAACTATAATAAAAAACTAAGTTAAATTCTAAATTACATAATAATTATAAATTATTAATAATTAATATAACAATAACTTACAATTTTCTGAACCTTTAGCATGTGATTGACCATACATGTACGTATACGTATATACAGGTTGTTTGATAATTAGTGAAACATATTCCGTACAGGGGGTAGAATGGACTAAACTGAGAAAAAAAGTCCTTTTACAACTGTCACAGTAGTTAACGAGATATTAATTTATAAAAATATTTAAATTCGCCCGGCCCACACCCTGTATATACGCATCGGCGGAATCAGCAAAAGAAATAAACTTGTGCAACAGAAAACGGCTGAATCGGCGGAATAAAGCCACGACCAATTACGAATATTCCGGATTCCGTAGTTCCGCACCCTTGCATGAAGTGTATGCATCATTTTATCCTTCTTTATAAATCGATGAACAATAGAGACAAATGATACATCATGCGCTTCATGTGTGCCACTCTCTGTGTGTGAACGCACCCTAAGATGCACCGTTACCAGGGAAATGTAAACAATTCTGTATGAATTATGAATCCATTTGTCTTTTTCAATTGCACTCCATACATATGATTTGCGCTTGAAATGGAGTATGTTTATATTCGAATAATAACGAAAACAAGGAGAAAAATTGTGAAGAAATTGTGGAAAATACAGTTAAGAAAAAAAATCGTTCCTTTTAGGTACAGGAGAAAAGTTATTGTTGACTTTTCGTAAAAAGTAGCTCTTGAGCGAGATGGCTGTGTCTCTGCAAACTCGTGTTTTCTACGGTCTGAGGACAGACATTGCCAATAACGCACACTATATCACAGATGCAGAAGTTTTATATCCAGTCGGCAATGCACTGGCCATTCACAATATTCTTCAGCATCAGCAAAAGCTGATTCGATTACCTGAAAAGTATTACGCAAACGTCATTTGTGTATCGCCTAACAAGTGAGTGAAGTATATGACAAGTATATTTGTTCATAAAAAATTAATATAATAAGGAGAAATTCACTCAACCATATAAAACTAAATTAATTGAAGCGAACTTTCATGTTTTTTTTATTTTAATAGAGACCCTGATAGAGAGCACAATTTATTGGTACATTATTGACCTCATGTTAGTTTAACATTGGTACAATATATCCCCAAGTTTAACCAACACATTTGTTCCTTGTAACTTCTTGCAAAGTTCATCCTTTTCTTTCTAATATAAATAAAAATAAAGATGAAATGTGCAAGAAATTCAGCTAAAAAGAACAGTCTAATGTATCATCAATAAATTGCTGTTAGAAAAAAAAACAATTTACAAAGATAAAAAAATAGAAAGATAATTTCTCAAAGTAGATGTTTGTGAATACATTTTAAACCTTCTCTGTTTTTTTGTACACAGATTGTAATGAAATAATCTGTAATTTCAGGAAATTTGTTGCTTTATCCGATGTAGGGGACAAACCTACCATATCCGTTTATGATCTCAACTCTCTGAAGCGTAGGAAGCTGCTTGGGATACCTTTCGACGCTCCAGGAGTAACCAGGTTTACGTGTCTGGGTTTTACTTTCGACAGTAAGAATCTGGTAGCAATCACCGGCGAACCTGATCAAACGATGCTCTTTTACAACTGGGAAAAGGGCAAAATCGAATCGACGTTCAAGCTGGCCAATCCACAAAATCTATTGGCGATCGCTGAGATGTTGGCATGCAATCCCACAGATGCGACAGTAGTGGCGGTCGGAGGTGCTTATACCTTTAAGTTCCTGACCATTTCTGAGACAGTGTGGCGCCCATATGGTTTTGCAAAAGCTGAGAACCTTCTTGTCAGTTCGATGGCCTGGTTGGACGGCGATAGACTCATGGTTGGCACCAACGACGGCCGCATGCTCTATCTGGAGAACGGCGATCTTAAGAACGTATACAAAATGACCGATACAGTGACAATGAATCTCAAGATTCGCGAGGAATACGTTATGCCTATTGCCGCCAGCTCACAGATAACACTAGAAGCAAGCAAGGAAGTTACCTGGCAACAAAACGTAGCCTGCTTGATCGCATTTCCACGTGGATTTGCTTATGCGCATGGTGAAGGGACCGTGGTATTCTTCGAGAAAGAAGGGAAACATAAGTACACGATGAGGAATGTCTATGTGATTCCACAGCGAATGGTAAAAGACGACGACCCGGATCTTTACAAGATCAACGCGATCAATGTGAATCTTAGCTTTGACCGATTAATCGTCACCACCAGCTGGTCCCAACTGTATTACGCGACACTGTGGGGTCCAGATCTGCAGATGGACCCAGAACCACAGACAATGAAGATTATGGGCCAACCATTACATCATGGTTCTATCAGTGGCCTCTCCATGTGCGCGTGGAAGCCGGTCTTCATGACATGCGGCAAATTCGATCATAGCGTTCGACTGTGGGATTTTGAGACTGAAAGCCTTATTATGCTAAAGCAGTATGATGAAGATATATCCAGCGTAGCATTGCATCCAATGGGACTATTCTGCCTGATCGGCTTCACCGACAAACTACGCTTCATGAGCATCCTGATCGATGATCTGGTACCAATGCATGAGATCGCCATCAGAAATTGCAAGACGGTTCGCTTTAGTTGCAATGGTCATCTATTCGCCGCGGTCAACGACAACGTCGTGCAAGTGTACACCACTATTAGTTTCCACAATCCTTTCATTCTCAAGGGACACACAGGCAAGGTGAAGGCGCTTCTCTGGTCACAAACGGACTTAAAAATGTTAAGCATGGGTGCAGAAGGTTCCATATATGAGTGGGACATGACCACTGGCACACGATTCAGCGAGTTCATCTGGAAAAACATCATCTTACGCGACATTGTACTTTCATCGGACGCATCGTTTATTTACTGCATTGCACATGATGATCAGATACGTGAAATCAAAGAGAATGAGGTATATCTTGATATCTCTTATTTTTAAAATTACTATTGTTAATCTTTTATTCAATCAGATAGATCAAAAATAAATTTTATCGACAAAAACATTAAATTTGATGCAAATTCTGTTATATTCAATGATGTCAGCAAATTGATGGCAGATGTACAACAAAATATGCTGATGTAATATACTTAAGAACGAATTATCGGCAAAACCGTACAAGGTTGCTAAATTGATTGCAAGAATCGATCAAAACCTGCTCATTTTTTGTCAACAATTTGATTTTAAATTATGCTAGTAAGCCAAGTTGTCGACAAAACACAAGGTTAATGCGAATACAATCGATGTCACTTTGCTAATATTTTTTCATCAAATTTACATCAATTTATAAGCAAATTGCTAACACTTTACTGACTGGTATATCTTTGTTTATCAGATAATACGAGAGTTTCGATTACCTGGCAAAGAAATGCAACAAATGATTATGGGGAAAGATGACCTAACGTTATTTGTAACTTCTCCTGGTGGTATCATCATTTCATTGAAAAGTCCGCTTCAAACTCCAATAGAATCAATGGACTTTCACATGCATTGCGTCGATATCACACAGGTATCTCTCTTCCTTTTAATACAGTGAAAATAAATTAAGAAATAAATTGTTCTCCTAATTGTTTTATTTCTTTCTTCCTTAGATGGCACTCTCTTACAATGAAAATTGTCTAATCTCGGTTGCTGAGGACGGTAGTTTGTGCATTTGGAAGTTATATTCTCCCGAAGGAAAAATCATGAAAATGAGCAGAGATTTACCATATACGAATGAAGTGTTAATCGGTAAAGGTGACTTAGAGGAAAAGATATACAACATCAAAAATCTTACAGTGAGACTGAGAGAATTAGAAACGGAACACGCATATAGAATGCGACAGATTGATATTCAACACAACGATAAATTGCGTGACGTACACCAAGGCTATTGCGAAGCCATCCAGGAACTTGCAGACAAAATAGAAAAGGATCGGGAGGACCATACAAATGAAATAAACAATATGAACGTGAATATCGTGAAGATGAAAGAGACTCACGAAAAGGCGATGCAAGAAATGGAAAATAATTATGAGGACAAGTTGATTATGGAATACAACAAGTATCAGGCGTTCGAAGAATGTACTAATGCTATGCGAGAGAACTATGAGAAGCAATTGAAAGATCTTGAGAAACGCGACGCGGAACAATTGCAAAAAACCGTGACGAAATACGAAGCTTTGCTTCACGAAAAGAAGATACAACTGGAAGAAATCTTTGATGAGATGACGCACAAGGAGCGCGTTCACGAGCGTCTGATGACACAAATAGAAGACGACGCGGATCATGAGATTCTTGAGATACGTACGAAGTACGAGAATCTCTTGTACGAGGAAAGACAGATTAATTTAAAACTGAAGGGAGAGGCTGGAGTAATGCGAAACAAATTCATGGCCAGTCAGAGAGACGTGGATGATCTAAAGAGGCAAGTGCATCGGGTGCAAGGCGAATATGCGCAGTTTCACAAAAATATACAGGATCTTGAGAAGCAAATAACGGATTTAAAGAAGGAAATCACCGAAAGGGATGCTACTATTCGGAATAAAGAGCAACAGATATATGATATGAAACGAACGAATCAGGAATTAGAAAAATTCAAGTTTGTATTGAATTTTAAGATTGACGAGTTGAATAATCAGATACAACCGAGAGATCAAGAGATACAGGAGCTGAAGGATAGTATTCGGAACATGGAGGAGGAGCATATAAGTCTTCAAAAGACCAATGAAAACTTGGAATTGCAGCTACACGAGAAACAGGAGAAATTACGGATCGCACGTCAAGAAACTGATCACGAAATTCGTAAGAACAAAAGATGTCAGCAATTGTTACGAAAGATTCGCGTAGACATTCTTGACGTCTCGAGACTTGTACAAGAACCGAACGCTCTGAAAACCGCGGTGACTAATTTATATCACAAATATAGCGCGGATGATGAAATCCTACATAGTCGCAAAGTAGATATGGATGCGCAGTGTGAATTCATTAAGCAGAAGAATCAACTGGAAAGGACTATAGTGTCTTTGAAGAAGCAGGTGTTCCAGGACACGTCTACTGGTGACAAAGAATTGAAGATGATAGAGGAAAATAGTATACTTACTGTAGAATTAAACGCACTGAGGGAAGAATTAAAGCAAGCGCGAGAACACTTTTTGCGTATGGAGAGTCTGTTGGGATTAACGCGAAAAGACGTGCGACCTACAGAAGCGAGAAAAATCTTGGAACAAGCGTTTCACGGATACCAGGAGTTGCAGGAGAAATACACGAGGCAATTGCAAGAAAAAAAACAGGTTATTCTAGCACTAAAGGAAGATATTAAGCAATTGTTGAGCAAGATTCCTTGCGAAGAAAAGGAAGAAGAAAAGACATTTTGAATAAGTTTGTGACATTTAATCATTTTCTCAGGAACTTAAATATTGTAAAAGTTTAATGATAAATTAATGTTTTTTATGCTTTAGTATATTTTTTTACACATAGTAAATATTTAAAATATTTACTATGTGTAAAAATATATATATATATACATATATATATGTTCCTTCTTATTGTAATTGTGTTATATATGTAAGCATATATATGTATATTTGTTCAGAGAAATAAAAGCGCTCTATATCATAACATCATGCTTGTTCAGATACATTATTTCATATGACAAAAATGAACCTCATCCTAAGACATGTATAAAAATAAAAAATTGGAATTAAAATGCCTGCCTCTTTTATGTTATTTACAGATTTAATTTTTTGCTAGAAATTGACACTATTGTTGATCACATGTTTGCCAAAATTGCTAAGTATCATCATTAATTAATTAATCTTGACATTCTTTTCGAAAATAAAAACAGTAACAAAATAAATCAACATTGCACCAAATCATCGATATTATTCTATAAATAAATGCCTTAATTTAAAGAATGAATGGAATGATAGCTTTACGATTTTTCGGATAATGCAAGAATTCTTTCTTGTATGCTTTGTGCTTGCTCAGTGCCCACACAGTCATTTGATATGCACCGGCAAAGGTGAACAGACCAGCTGAAAATAAAATATAAAATTCGTACAATCGTTTCATTTGCATTCAACAATGTTAAAGGTTAAATAATCACACATAAAAGTTTAGCTATATATGCGTACCTGGAAGACACGATGTCATTACAGTAAAACTGATCCAACTGCCTATCTCATACGTGTAATTAGGACAGGAGACATAATTGAAGAGTGCGGTGAAAGGATTCTTGGTCGGCATCGGGACTTTCCTGACCGTAGTGCCTGATGGTCTCAAATTCCTCAGAGCTAAGTGGATACTGAGATTGCCCAGCTCGCACATCACGAATGATACCGCTCCAGAATAGAATTCGAACTTGGTAGGAGCCGTATATAATGGATGGTTTGTGTGATACGCTACGTACATGGCAAAAAGCCAATAATAGGAGCAATTTTTGAATAGATTACGCAACGGCATCGTTGCATGACTGAAACGATGAACAAATATAGTTTCTAAGAGACGCTTAACATAATGTACCGACCATGCAACTGCTGCACAACTGAAAAAAAGGAAAAAATTACTTATATAAGTACAATAGAAGAAATGCTTATACAAAATATAGATTATAAATATACATCGTAATTTTAATAATATTACGTCAATACAGTGACTTACTTAGCTACATAGTGATAATTATAGGTGTTCACGTTTCCATAAAAGAGCCAGGGGCGTTGATACAACCAAAAGTATACCACCAGAGGTCCCGCATACTCTAACAGGAATACAGTCTTCCAGCCGATCTGAGGACCGAGATCCTTATAATACAATTTTCCACCCGCTTTCAGCGACAGGGATTTAATTGTCTCCGAGTCGGACAATGATTTTCCTTTAGCATCCAATCTCAGACTCTGTCTCTGAACGTACAGTGACTTTTTTAATTTATACAACTCCTGTTTTACTTCGCCTATCGTGGTGCTCGGATTTACCTGCAATAACGATACACGTCATGTAACAAAATAAAGTCGTAGATTTCTTTAAAAAAAAAAAAAAAAGAAAACAATCAATCGAATTTCGAATTATCAAATTCCGGTCAAATTCCAATTGATTATCTCGGTTTTACAGTTATGTCAGCGTTCGTTGCTATTTCACTTACGTTTACGATGGCTATCAGCTTCGACGTTTTCGCCGACAGTACTTCGATCTGAAAGTACAAAAAGTGATAAGTATACAATTGTCGAATTCACGGTTCCTTCGCGTTATGACAATTTCGCGAATTCTTACCTCCATCTTCGTCGACACAGACAACTCTCACGCGTAGAGAACACTGTCCTTTCGCACCGCGGTGACACTTCTCTCACCGCCGTTGCTCCCGGTTGATCTGATCAACTCCGGTTGTCCGGGTTTCATCGTCCGGAGCAATTTCGTTACGGTTAATGCCGCTTGGCGTCGTGTTCGCGGTCACGTGATTCCCTACGGCCCATTTTTATTGATCGATATTCTGTTTGTTCTTTCCGAACAATTCGATAAGCGAGGCGCAAACGATAACCCGTGTCGTCAAGAAAAAGAAATAAAGTTACCAAATTTAATAATCGATTATTGCCAGCTTGTATAACAAAGTTATATAAAGCAATTATCGCCGGTGATAATTCGGATCGCGCATACAAAAATAAATCGCCAATTGATTCACGATGAATACAAAATTTGCATAGCGTATGCATAATTTCGTTACGGGATGACGCGACATTTTCACGTAACACATTCATACCTACAGAAAAAGCTATTAAAAAAACGTGGATAAATACTTGTCCGTTTAAACATTATTTTATCTTCCTTCCGCTATTTGCGCATGGCGTGATCTTTACATAATCACATATGCGTGATTTATGATAATCACACATATAACAATTTACATGTACCATATTATTATTATTAATGTATATTCTATATTAATGTGCAACAATTTACGTCATAAAGTAAACGTCTCCAGTGACTAGACATATGTATATTATACCTTTATTTGTTCGGACATATTACACAAAATTTATTATTAATTTTAAATGTATTTTTTATTACAACATTATAATTTAACTGTATTTAAAAATTAGAAAAAATTAAATTATAATACTATATTAAAAAAGCATTTAAGATTAATAATAATAATATATAAAGAAATATATAAATAAAGTATTTTGCGTTAATTTCTGGAAACACTGGAAAGTTTGCCCTACTTTTTTCGAAAATATTGATTATTAATTTTTGGCCTGCGATTCAGGCTTTTTTTAATATACAGTTTAATATAATTATACACATTGTTAATAATTATATATTGTGAAAAACTATTTAATATAAGTTTTAAAAGCGGAAATTGTAAATAAGATTTTTTTCAATTTCTTAGAACGCGCGCGCGTTATTCCTTAAACTCTTAAGTTTGTTTAATTACGACGTTTTATTATGGAAATTAATTGCATGAAACGAAAAATTCAAAGTCATCTAATTAATTTACTGAATTTATAACTGTACGAGATAGACCTTTGAACTGTCTTATATAAACATCGGTTTTACACTAGGAAAAAAAGAAAAAGAGAATCACTTTTGGGAAACAAAAATATAGTGAATCTTATATATTTCGACCTGCTGAACACGATATTATTATTAATTTTCATTGAAAATGTGAGAAACATCGTTATTTTTCAAATTAATGTTCTCATTTTCACTAAAAAATAGAACTTTAACTTAAAAAATAACACAATATATTATCACGCATTAACGAATACTCAAAATGTTATTCATATTGATAGGCCAATTTTCATGTCACACTTTAACATAAACTGCAATTAAATTTACGATAGTAATACCATATCGTACTGTTAAAAATTACTGAACATATCATGTTTATTAGCATGCCATTTGTAATTTTAAAGTAATTCCAAAAGACAAAAAATAATTGCACACGTGCGTTGGAGAACATAAAAACGCAACAAAAATATGTATAAGAAACGTGTTTTGTTAAAATCAATAGAATTATTTTTAAAGTTTTATAATCGATAATACAAAGATTAACCTCATCGATAATAGATTAACTCGCTATTATTAACTTTATTGTAATATCTTATCAACTGCGCGCGCGGCTGTTCAACTAAAGTTTCTCGAGTTCTCTCATAGATAGCGCATCGTATCACATTATTCAAATGTAGTGATTTTGCAAAATGTATTTTTGAAATTTCTATATAAATTCTGAAATAATAGAAATAAGTTATAAAATATATAAGTAATATAAAAAAAATTATAAAAAATAATTAGGAAAAAAAGAAAAATTAAAATGCGTGCGGAGATGATAAAAGAGTTAAATTTCTGACGAAAATCTCGATTATTTTTGGAAAATATTTAGATATCAAAATAATAAACTATAAGGTTCTATATGTGTGTAAAATAAAGTATAATAGAATAAGAACAAAGAGATATAACAATCAATTTAAATTTAAAAAATAATAATAACCATATGTAAATAAAGTAACAAAGAAATTTAATAAAATAAATAAATAATACATATGTTTCAACTCCGATCGGGTCATTCTCAATGTTACATTTAAAAAATCTTTAAACGATAATTAAATTACAAAAATATCTTCTACAAAAATTAATTTAATTAATCAAATAATAATAATAATTAAATCGTTGTAATGAAAGATGCTATTAATATTTTTTTAAATAATGGATACCCATTATCTTTTATATTCTTGACTATTCATAATAGAATTAAATTTCACATTATAGTAATAACATTAATAGTATTGGTAATTTAAAAAAATTTTTCGCGATACCATATGTCGGTTCGGTATCTAAAAAATGTACACCTATTGTGAATATGTGTAATTGTAAATTGGCATTCACCATTCCTAACACATTGAAAAATTTCATAAAAAAGGGAAAAGATAAATTAGAACACACAAAAAATCAGAATGTAGTTTACAAGATTTCTTGTGACAATTGTGATGTTAGTTACGTAGGACAAACAAAAAGACAGTTAAAGACAAGACTGCATGAGCATATTTTAGATATTAATAAAGGTTCAAAATCTCCATCGGTGATTTCTGATCATTGTATTGAGAAAAATCACGATTTTAATTGGGATAATGTGGAGATATTAGATATAGAACCTTTTTACAATAAAAGATTAATATCTGAGATGGTGCATATTAAAAAACAAATACATGGTATAAGTAGACAAAATGATACGGAATCATTACCAGATTTATATTCTAACATCATACATTCTCTTTCCCCTTCCTAATATCCTTCTTCTATCTCCCCTCCATTTTTCCTTCCTCATTATCTTCTTATTTAACATTACATCATATGAAGCCGTCTAGTTCAGATGTATCCATTTAAC